TCCCTGCGCCCCGGTCGCGCCCTGGCCACGACCCCGGCCCCAGCTCTTACCGCCTCGGAAGATCTTCCAGCCCCTGGGGTCGAATTCCTGGGGAGGGGGCTCCGATCCCGTGGAACTGTGTCTCTGTCACCCGGGAGGAGAATCGGCCAAAATTCCTAATAAGTCACATAGTAAAGTTGGAAAACATACCCCGGACCTCCCCGCACGCGCCGGCGCCTCCTGCCCTTCCCCGAGGATGTGTGCCCCGCCACCCTCGTCGCTCCTAGAGCTGGGGGCCAGGGGCGTTGAGAGGGACACAGGTGGGTGCCCATGACCCAGCTCAGCCCGACGACTGGGAAGGACACCTGTTGGGATGGTCCTCCAGGACCCAGGACTGGAGGGCACAGTGAGGACCGAGGAGTTGTACTTGCTCTCCACGCCGGCCCTGAAACATGCTGTCCAGCCCTCACCCGCCCCGGCAAGTCACCCATTTCCCAGAGGTGGGTCCCCCTGGAGGTGAAGGGGTTAGCCCTGCCCAGGTCTCTCTCATCCTTGATCTTCACTGGCCAGTGTGGAGGTGTGGCCAGGAGGAGCCCAGGTTTGTCCAGACCAGTGTCCAGGCTGGCACCGGAGTGACCACTTCTGACCTCTCCCTTCCTCGCCCTGGGCAATGAGACACAGCAGATATGGGACATGAAAAGGGGTGAACAGGACAAATGTGTGTTCTGTTTCTGCAGTGGAGGGGGTGTCGGCCCCCTGCCCAGCTGTGCAGGGGGGCTGGGGTGGGACTTTTCCAGAGAGGGAGCCAGGCCTGGCCAGGGCCCCAGGAGCTCACGTCACCCCCACCCCCCACCCCTCACTTCTCCAGGGAACTGCCAAAGCCAAACTCAGCTCAGGACGGGATTATGTGTACCGGGCAGACCCATGGAGGGAGACAGCAAGATACAGACCCGGGGTAGCAGAGAAGCCGAAGAGGAGAGGGGACCCCATGGCAGAGGAGGGGCAGACGATGCCCGTAACCCTCATCTCTCCTTTCCTTCACCCTAGAGTAGCTGAGTCAGGCAGAGAGTGGACAGTGGGGGTGGGACGCTGGCCCTTCTCCGGTTAGCACCCCCCCCAGTCAGGGCGGAGTTGCTGACCTCAGTGGTCACCCAGCCAGGACGAGGCGCAGCCATCAGCAACCCCCTCCCCACCCCCAAGCATCTGGGGTGACCCTGTGGGTCAAGCTCGACCACCGTGATCCAGCCAGCAAGTCCTCAGGTCCCGGGGTCGCGGGGAGGGGCGCGGGGCTGAGTGCCGCCACCCCCAAGCACACCCCGCCCTCCCCTCTGTCGTTCCCAGCCCCCGAGCTGGCCCACCTCGGCACTGGCTCCTTGGACTCCTTTCCCGGGTGCCTTTCTGATCCAACAGAAACATTTTTTTTTTTCCTGGAAAGCAAAACTAAGAGCGGGGTGAGGAGTGGGGGCAGGAAGGGCTGGTACTGGGCAGGAAGGGGCCGGAGGGCGAGGGGGAGCAGTGGCAGAGCCAGGCTTAGAGGCCAGGGAGGGTTCGGAGCCCTGCGTCCCTTCCTGACCCGCGCTGGACTTCGGGATGGACCGATTGCTGAGTTCTTCAGAATGACAGGCCTGCGACCAGGGGGGACAGCCACTCTAGCTGCACCTCTCGTCCCCAGGTCCCCCCAGTCCCTGGTAGTAGCTGTGTCTGAAACAAGCCCTCATTGAGCCAGTTGTGGCCACCGCCCCCTAAGGGACGTTCAGTCGCAGTGAGAAAATCACCTGCTTCTCTAGAGATAAAGCCATCAGCCCACTCAGTTTATCCCTTGGCTACAAAGTGTTTGATGCGGGCAGACATGTGCCTGAGTGTTCTAGAAGCTGCCTAGCAAAGTAGGGAAGGAAAGGCTGGGAGGCAGGTGGTAGGAAACAGAAAGCCGAAGGGGTTCCCTGTCACCTCCTCAAGGGGGCGTCTGGCATGTCCTCACCGGAGCCTCCCTCCTCCTCGCAGGACCAGATAAAAACCATCCTAGGAAAGATGCCTGGGCCTGGGCCCTCCTAGAAACAGTCCCTACCTGGACCGGGGAGGGCCGGGGGCGGGGCGGGGGTGGGGCCGCGCTTGGGACCCCCAACCTCTAGCAGTACTTCTCCCCCACCCCTCCATCCTCACTCTGAGATGTCCTTCCGAAGAGTCATCCCTCCCAACCCCAACTTCCTGGAGACTGGAGGTAACCGGGCTTCTGTCCCTGCAGAGCAGCCCCGCCACGTCCAGATGCCCGAGTAGAGAGTTTACTTCCGGTCCCCTCCTCCCAAGCTAGGAGGAGCGATGGAGAAGTGGGCGGGCAGGTGAGAGGTGGGCGGGCAGGTGAGAGGTGGGCTGCTCAGGAGGGACGGCTCTGTCCCTGGAAGGGAAGGGAGGCCACTGGGAGGGGCGCGGGGAAGTGATGAGGAGCTTCTGCTTTCGGGGAAGTTGGCATCAGGATGTGGGGAGCCTGCTGCGGGTGAGGGGTGGTGTCGCAACACCACCTCTGGCTCCCGGCCCACGTCCCTGTGCTGCCTTTGGTTTGTAGGCCCCGGTTGTGTCTGATGCTGCTTCTGTCCTTCCCTCAGCTCTGCCTGGACCAGGAGGTGAGCCGGGGACCGAGGCCCTGATCCCCTGACCGCCATCCAGGCCTCTGTTTCCCACAGCCTCTGATGGGCCATGGCTGCCCCCAGCTCCCCCTTCTCCCCAGCTCCCCAACTCCTTGCCAAATAACATCAAGTCCCACCTCGGCCGCTGAATGCGACCTTGGGCTGAGCCTCGAGCACTGGACTAGAGCCTCCATACCTCCCTCTAAATCGTTCTAATTTTGTCTGAACTTTCTGTCTACATAGGTGTTGTCTGGACACGCTCTTCAGACGCCCCCTGAGGAGGGCCAGGGCCCTGAGGGCATCTGGGGTCCTTGGGCCCAGTGGGCCTCTTGCTCCCAGCCCTGTGGGGTGGGGGTGCAGCGCAGGAGCCGCGCATGTCAGCTCCCTACAGCTTCACTCCACCAGGGCCGACCCCTCCCACCCCGGCCCCCAAGACATCCGGAAACCCTGCTGCCCCGGGGTCAGGGCCCCAGACCTCAGACTTCCCGAGAAGCCCTCCCCCTGTACAGGCCACAGCCTCGAGGCAGGGGCGGCGCGCTTCGAGGTCCTGCTTCCCCGTTAGGGGGAGAGGAGGCCCAGGAGATTCAAGGAGCCAGGAGGTAAGGGGTGGGGCTTTGAGGGAAGGGGCGGGCCTTGGGCAAGGGGTGGGACTTGGGAGAAAGGACGCGGGAGAAAGGGACCTATGGCTTAGGGGGGCTTATTCCCGGCGCTAGAAAGTAGACTGGCGAGGCACGGTCAGAGGCCGCCAGTGCTGTGACCCCCATGTCTGCGACCCCCTTCTCAGGTCCCGGGTTCGAGACCCTATCAAGCCCGGAATGTTTGGTTACGGGAGAGCGCCCTTTGCTTTGCCGCTTCATCGGAACCGCAGGCACCCCCCGAGACCGCCTGGATCTGAGCTATCCCAGGCCTCAGAGCTTCCACCCCTGGTTCCAGAAGCAGAGCCATCCTCTGCTAATGACGCGCCTCTAACTCAGTTGCCTCCCACGGAACCACCTGCCCACGCCCTGTCCCCCTCAGCAGAACCCCCAAGCCCCGAAGCTGCTCAGACAGAGGTGCCCTCCAGAGCCAGACCTGTCCCCACACGGCCCCTCCCCAGAGCCCAGGCCTCTGGCACAGAGCCCCTCTTGCCCACCCCCTCCCCACGAGAAAGTGGCTCCTTCCACGTGTCCCCTCAGCCAAGAACGCCAAGTTTCCAGGGTCGGTCCAGTCCCCGGGTGGCAGAGAGACACCCTAAACCCTTCCTTTCTGTCCCTCGGGGCCGAGGCCAGCAGAGCCTGGAGCCCTGGAGACCTGAGGGCAATCGCCACAGGTCCCTCTCAGAGTCTGCCCCTCACTACCCGGATGGATGGCTGCCTCTGCTGAGGGCTGGTCCCCAGTCCAGCTCCCAGTGGAGCCTCTTTGCTCCCAGTAGCCCTGTCCCAAGATGTTCCGGGGAGAGTGAGCAGCTGAGAGCCTGCAGCCAAGCGGTGAGTCCTTCCTTGGGCTCCCTCCCCTTCCATTCCTGTTTCCCCGAACCCGAGTCTGGATCCTCAGCCTGTCAGGTCTGGACCTAGGGTCAGGGGCCTTGCAGCTCTTCCGTAGACCTGACTTCCTCCTTACTCCCCAAATCTAGCCCTGACCCACACCCCCATTTTCCTCCCCAGCTTTGACCCCTCTGTATCCCCCACCTCAGCCCTGCCCCCCTGAGCAGCCAGACCCCCGGGCCCTGCAGTGTTCAGCCTTTGACTCCCAGGAGTTCATGGGCCAGCTGTACCAGTGGGAGCCCTTCACAGAAGGTGAGGTTTCTAGCCCCCCGCCTGGACGGGGGCCTGCAGATCGGGGGATGCCGGGCGGGGAGACACCCAACCCCCTACGTTTCTCCTCTGTCGGCCCTTGTATTTCTCCTCTGTGTCAATGTCCTTTCTCATTTCCCAGGGCTGGGGTGAAGAGACAGCACAGGCTCAGGGGAGGGGGTTCAGACGGGGTCAGAAGTAGTGGATGGTCGGCAGAGAGGTTGGGCTGGGGGAGGATGTGCCCCAAGGTGCCCGCTGGCCGGCTTCCTCTGGGAAGAAGTCCATCCCAGGAGGTGGAGGAGACGTGACCGGAGAGGGACACTGTCCAGTGGTGTCAGCGGGGGGGGGACGGGGGGCGGGGTGCACCATGATCCTGGATGGTGTCATGTCACTGGCTCCCCAGTCACCATCCACTTGACTTTAGGCCTGTGTCGACTTGATACCAGGAAAACCTCTCATGAGCTCTGAACTCAAAAATCAAAAATTTCAAGTATCTCTCCTCTGCTTTCAGTGACCTCAACTGACCTGACCCAACTTCTGTGTGACCCTCAAACCAGCTTTTCAGAGTACAGACTTGTCATGTTCCCTTCATCCACAGTGACTTAGGCAACCTCCAGATGCCCCATAGCTAATAAGAGCCGCGCTTCCGTCAGGGTCCCGGGGCCTGCCCCGCCTCACCTCCCAGCAGGCCCCCCAGCTGACCACCGCCCTACCCTGCCCCGTAGTCCAGGGCTTCCAGCGCTGTGAGCTGAACTGTCGTCCCCGTGGCTTCCGCTTCTATGTCCGTCACACCGAAAAGGTCCAGGACGGGACCCTGTGTCAGCCGGGAGCCCTAGACATCTGTGTGGCTGGACGCTGTCTGGTAAGGGAGGGTGGGGTGTGTGTGTGTGTGTGTGTGTGTGCGCACGCGTGTACACACACACACACACACACACACAGAGTCGCCTCATTCGTCATTACAACAACAAACACCAGACTGAGCTCACAAAGGGGAAAGTTCTCACCTGCCAAGCGGGCTGAGCAGAGCAGAGAGGTGGCCCTCTCCTTCCTCTCCCGAGGCCCCTGGCGACGAGGGGGTGGACGGTGGGGCTGAGGGACAAACACAGCCCCACTTGTGCGCAGGTCGAGACCTGCGGTGAGCGGAGGGTCCTGAGAGGACCGGGGGTGGGGGGTGGGGTGTGAGGCGGCGTCTGGCTTCAAGCAGCCCCCGCCTCACCCACTGCCCCCAGAGCCCCGGCTGCGATGGGATCCTCGGCTCTGGCCGGCGTCCAGACGGCTGTGGCGTCTGTGGGGGCGATGATTCCACCTGTCGCCTCATCTCGGGGAACCTTACTGACCGCGGGGGCCCTCTTGGCTACCAGAAGATCCTACGGATCCCAGCGGGGGCCTCCCGGCTCCAGGTCGCCCAGTTCCGGCCCAGCTCCAACTACCTGGGTGAGCTCCTCGGGCTCCCCGAGTCCTGCGTCCCCACTGCGTTCCCGGTCTCTTGGGTCTGCCCTCCACACCCCGGTGCAGCACAGCAGACAAGCCCAAGGGAGGGAAGGAGGGTGGGAGGCAGCCAAGAGGGCGTGGGGGGTCTGGGGCGAGGACAGAGGACTCACCTGCTTGTCCTGGTCTCTAGCTGTCCGAGGCCCTGGCGGCCGGTCCATCATCAATGGGAACTGGGCCGTGGATCCCCCAGGGTCCTACGCGGCCGGCGGGACCGTCTTCCAGTACAACCGGCCTCCCCGAGAGGAGGGCGCAGGGGAGAGCCTGTCGGCCGAGGGCCCCACGACACAGCCTGTGGATGTCTATGTGAGCCTGGGCCGGAGCAGCGGGCCTGCCGGGCGGGGGCTCCCTCCGAGGGCACAGGTGGGGAAGGCCCCCTGCCACCCCACACCCTCTTTGTCTCCCCAGATGATCTTTCAGGAGGAAAACCCAGGGGTTTTTTATCAGTATGTCATCTCCTCACCTCCTCCAAACCTCGAAACCCCCACCCCAGAGCCGCGTGTCCCGCAGCTGCAGCCTGGTGAGACGCTGGTCTCCAGACCTGGGGACAGAGGAGGGGGTGGGAGGGACACTCCGAGGCGGTGGGGAACATCGACTTGCCCACTCCGCTCGCCCTGCACAGAGATTTTGGGGGTAGAGCCCGCACCTGCGCCGGCGCCCCGCCCCGCCCGGACCCCTGGCACCCTCCAGCGTCAGGTGCGGATCCCCCAGGTGCCCGCCCCGCCCCACCCCAGGACACCCCTGGGGTCTCCACCCGGATTCTGGAAACGAGTGGGACACTCCGAGTGCTCTGCGTCCTGCGGGAAGGGTGAGACTCCACCACCGGCCCGCGTCCCCTGCTCGGCGCCCGGATCCCGCGCTGGGCGGCGGGTCCACACCTCGGCTCTGCGCTGGGCCCCAACGCACCCCCAGCTCCCCTCTCACCCTCGCCAGGTGTCTGGCGCCCCGTCTATCTCTGCGTTTCTCGCGAGTCGGGAGAGGAACTGGATGAACGCAGCTGTGCCGTGGGCACCAGGCCCCCAGGCTCCCCGGAACCCTGCCACGGTCCCCCGTGCCCCCCAACGTGAGTATGACCCACAGGGACGGCTAGGGTCCTAGGAGCACAACAGTCGCTCTGGGCACGCACATCTGCACTGCCCAGAGGGTCCCACGCGGACGCTGACCCCCGACTGCAGAGGGACAGTGCGCGATCAGAACCGCTGACGTCCGCAGACAGAGGAAGACCCAGACCCCAATGCCAAACGAGCCCACTGTCCTCTGAGGGGGCCCCGCCCCAGCGTGGCCCTCTCGGCACATGGCAGCCCCACGCACCTCTGCCCTTGCCATCCACCTCTCCGTCTGTCTCCTCCCCGCTCTGCACGTGCCCACAGCTGGGAGGCTGGCGACTGGACGTCCTGCAGCCGCTCCTGTGGCCCGGGCACCCAGCACCGCCAGCTGCGCTGCCGGCAGGAGTTCGGGGCGGGTGGCTCCTCAGTGCCTCTGGAGCGCTGTGGACACCTCCCCCGGCCCAACATCACCCAGCCCTGCCAGCTGCGCCTCTGTGGCCATTGGGAGGTTCGTTCAGCCTGGAGCCAGGTGAGTGGGACCGGACAGACCGGCTCACGGAGGGTGGAGGGCCTGGTGGGGACAGGGAGCTGGAGAGGTGGCTTTCCAACCCTTTTTAATCGGAAGAAACTTCTTACAAGCAAAGTCCCATGTGGGACCTCAATCTCTAAGTCAGATGGGAGGGCAGACCGGAGCTGGGCCCAGGGGCCCGTGCTCACCCCGCAAAGCCGTGTAGCTGCTGAGCCAGGGGTCAGGGGCCCATGCTGGTTCTGAAGCCACCGCCGGTCGGCTGCCGGGCAAGCCCGGGAAAACCCCCCCCCCCCCCCCGCCTCGCCCCCTCAGTGCGCGGTGCGGTGCGGCCGCGGCCAGCGGAGCCGGCAGGTCCGCTGTGTGGGAAGCAACGGGGATGAAGTGAGCGAGCGGGAGTGCGCGACGGGCCCCCCGCGGCCCCCCAGCAGAGAGGCCTGTGACATGGGGCCCTGCACCACGGCCTGGTTCCACAGCGACTGGAGCGCCAAGGTGGGCCCCACGCCCGGGCCGCCCGCCCCGAGCC